AAAAAAAAAATAGGTTTCAACCTTTCTTTTTTTTTTTTTCCCAAAGATTTATTTATTTATGCATACAGAACTGGGATACAGGCCAGAGGTGCAGGAGCAGTAAGAGGCTTCACTAGAGACAGAGTGGGGAGCAGCAGGTGAGTGAGACTGGAGAGGGCTATTGCACCATGTGGGTCAGCCTGCTGCTTCCTAATGCTGAGGTTTAGTCTGTTGCACCCTACCTAGGTGGGCCCAGGTCTCAGTCTTTCTAATAAAACAATTTTGAGATTGTATAGACTCCTTTCTCCCCAAAGAAAAAAGAATGCATAGAGCACACACAGAGAATTTTATATATGAATGTTAAGGAATTCATAAACTCCTAAAATTCACTCTTACAGAACTAGTTTTAGTCCAATTCTTTCATTTTACAGATGAGTAAACTGCAGCTTAAGATGCTAAATAGCTTAGCAAAAGGTGAATTTTGAAGACATACCTAGAACCAAACAGAATACAGGTCCTTTTATAACCAAGTGGTATTGGTGCACCTGATTTTCTTTTAAAGGCTCTACTGAAATTATGTAGTTACTGGTCTGCAATTTGCTCCCAAACAATTTAGTGGAAAAAAGGGAGTGAATAGAGATGCAGATGAAACAAGACTGGATATATACTAGTAACTATTGAAGTAAGGCAGGAAACAGATTCTTTTACTGTTGACTCTATTTTTGGATATTTGAAAATTGTCCTAATAAAAAGTCTAAAGACACACAATACAATACGGGAAGATTATCATTGTCTTACGGAAGCTGGTGGAATCAAAATCACAAATATAATCAGTGCAAAGTAGTTTTCAAGAAAATTAATGTAAAGACAGTACTAAGTAAGACAAGGCAAAGAAAACAGCCTATCATAAAAGAACCCGCTATCACTTATGATCTTTGCTCTATGTAGTTTAAATCTGCAAACAGACAGGGCTTTCCAGAGGATAGGGTCTCATTCCCAGGAATCCTTACGATAAAGTCTAAGTTATGTGGTAGGTTCTAAGTTATAAATTCTGTTAGAAGCATAATAGAATACATTGGTGGTCAAAATCACAAACTCAAAGTTAAAACTTTGTACTTATCTAGAAACCTTTGGGAAAAAGAATATCTTTGGATTTCCAGTGGTAGCATCACAGATTTAAGAATGGCACAATAAGGTTTGATGGTAATGAGTATGATATATTCTGGAATGTGCAATATAATGCAAAATATGTCTCAATATATAAAGACACGAATTTTGAAGATACAAAAAAATTTAGGAAAATCATTTCATGAAATGTTAAGAGTAGAATATAGTCTAAGTTGTGTGGTAGGTTCTGAGTTGTAAGTTCATCCAGAAGCATAATAGAATGTAGAGTAGAAATAGTATAATAATAATCTTACATAAGTATAGAAATTCCTACTTCAGAAGGAATCTAGTAAAAAATTGCTAGAACTAATAAATTCAGCAAGGTTGCAGAATATAAGAACACAGAAACCAATCGTATTGCTGAGTAGCAATGAATACAGCAAAAATTTAATTTAGGAAACAATTTCACCTTTAACAGCAATAAGAATGTACTCCACAAAAAATTTAACAGTGTAAAACTAACGTTATTGAAAGATCTAAGTAAACACAAAGCCTTCCCCTGTTTGTGGATCAGAAAACTTAATATTCAACCATAATTAGTTTTTTAATGTTCTCAGACAGAAAAATCAGTAATATAAAGGGTCATAGAAATTAAAGCCAGAGTAAATACAGCTATATTATATCAAAAAGTCTCTAACCACATGCTTTCTACAGCAGCTCAAAGTGACTGTCACATACCTTCACACATTCTTGAGTTCCTTCTTGTTTCTGCTTCATACTGGGATTCATTATATACCTGGTGAAGAACAAAAGATCAGTAATTCAAAAACAGAATATGGTTTGTACCTGAAGGTAAACTGTAGTTTTATTGTTGTTGAAAATAATCATATAAATCAAAGTCATACATTTTTAAAATTATCTTTCTCAAGATACACAAACTCACCTCTGTCAATGACTAAAGCTAATGACTCAAAATTATCTCTTCATAAAGACATAATAATTCTAAGTGGCAAAGTCTTGTTATTCAAGGAAAACTATGTATTCTAAACAAATTAGAAGACATGATGTTATACTGCTGCATTGGAGAGCTTTCAAAGATCTCAGAAATGGTCACCAGAAAAAGCAAAGCATTAACTACTTGGGTGTGGTTAAGTCCACCCTGAAGAACTGCATCCTAACTTTGCTCTTTCAAAGGCACATGCAAAGCCAGCACAACTTGGTTCTGGCACCAGCTTAATAATGACTTCATATCTGATCAAATGAGCTCATGCATTTGCATTTGTAGAAAGGTTTAATCACAGGTAACTGAGACCCTGAGGGAATAAAGGAAAAGAAAGCAGTAAGATAAAGGGTTATGTAATGTGATCAACCAGACCTCTAGGCCTGACTCACGGAAAATCCAACTCCACAGACAAATCTGCGTCTCCCAGAGTTCCTGATTTTGTGGTCTGGTCTTTACTCAGTACAGTGGCTATTAAACCTCGGCTAGATCCATCTCAGGTTAGTGCATTTTACACTGTGCTCTAGCGCGCACACAAACACGTTTGGAAAACAATCTAATTGTGTGAGGCACCTAATTTTTATTCTATTTCACGGGAAGCAAGAAAGGGTCAGGATACTCAATGATGTTTTGGCAATTTATTTTTTCAAATTGCAGGTGCTCGCTTGGATTCTTCAACTCTTTCACGGAGCCAGAAGCAACGTAGTCTAGAAAAATGTAACTCAACACTGGAACTGAAGGGACCAGAAGATATGAAAGCGCATGCCAGTCAGTAATGCGCACTGGTTCAGGGAATGTATGTATTTAGTTAAGTGGCTGTGTTCGAAGTTACCATGTGAAATGTGCTTTTACGAGTCACGATTCAAAAGGATCAAAGCTAATGCTTCCCACATTTACCGCGCGCTCAGCAACCTTGTTGATTCTCTAGTTTTTTTTTAACAACCGGATTTAAAATCCTAGCACAGGGCTCAGCCCGGAGGACAAGGTGACGACCAGCTGAGACCAACGTCACCAAGGCCGATGTAGTTTTCCAATGGAGACGCAGGAGTCAGTGACCTTCTCCCAAGAGCCCGTCTGCAGACCTGCCCAATCCAGGCCAGTTCCAGGGAAGGGGTGGGTATCCCGCCCCTCCCGTCCCTCCTTACCGACGCACTGCATCCGAGAGTCCCCCGCCCACCACATCCGCCGCCTCAGCCCCACGACCCGCGAGGGGGCGGGCGATCCAGGGCGGCGCGCCCGAGCCCTCCAACCACCGCGCGCGCCTCGCACTCGCCCGCCAATAGGGAGCGCGGAACAGACAGCGCGCCAAAACCGACCCCGCCAATGAGGGCAGCCCCTCGTCTCACCGCCCTCCCCCGTGTGGGCTACCACGACCGTTCAACAGCCCCTCACCAGACCCGGCCGCGGCCCGGCGGCTGTCACCGGAGTACGCGGCTTCCAGCTGACAGCTGCGAAAAGCCCGCTGACCAGTGGTGCCGCACACCCACCTCCCGTCACCTCACACGGAGTGGAAACAGTCCTCCAAGCGTACTCGGGACTGGGATCAGGCACGGCAGGCAAAGCGCTTTCGTCCCACCGGCGACTGGAGTGACGGCGCGCGCGGCTGTAAAAGCTGCGGGTCTCCGGCTCGCCCGCCCCCAGACACCACGTGACCTCGTGACCGAAGGGTGGGGTCCCAAATCCGACCAATCGTAGGTGGCCCCGCCCTCTGCCTCGGCCCTGCCCAGCCTGCGCCTGCGCGATAGGTGCAGCGTGAATTTGATCCGGGGACCAGGTACTCGGTTGGGTCTGGGATGCTGGCGGCGCTCGGGTGCTGGGAGTTTCTGTTTAGCGGCACAAAATATTGTATACGTAGTGCGTGGCTTATTCGATTCCTGTAAAGAAGTTGACGTATCGGTTTTTATATACCTGTGTTTTTGACGTCGTTGTGATGTAGCAGTTCCGGAAGGACTAGCTCGGCGATCAGTTACCCAGCCAGCTGTTGGCTGAGCCCCTGGTACTTTCCAGTTTCTGTTCCAAAAGCTGAGACTACACCTGCTATTGCAATTTGAAGGAGCAGGGAAACGATCGTCATAATTAATCTCTGGCTCCTTAATATTTTTGCTTTGCCAATTTATCAAACGACTTGCCTTGTGGGCAGAGTATGTTTGGTTTTACCGGAGTTTTGTTAAATCTTACCTTTACAGCTAATATAGGTATTAATACAAGTCTGTTTTACCACTTTTTACGGGTCTATATTTCAGTGGGTGGCAGTTTAGAAAATCTACGCGCTACTGCTTTAAGAACTGCTCTTTCAACTGCTAGCCAGCGACCCTTGCAAGCGCTTCTGCATTTTTTTTTTGGGGGGTGGCAGCATAAGACAAATAAAGCTCTTTTGGGGAAAACAGAATATTTACATTCTTAAACAAGCCATTGATTGGAAATCTATCAACAGAAAACTGAGTTTTCAGAATAAGCATTCTGGCGTCCCGTGATAAGCTTTCTGTTGTTGGAAACACCAGCCAGTCCAAATAGTACCTCTTTTCCATTTCTTCTTCCAGCCTCATGATAAAAAGAGGACATTAGAAAGTGTATTGAAACGACTAGTGGAAACTGATTGCCGTTAAGTCAAAATGGGTAAGTACAGTATATATTCAAATATATATCAAGGGCCTCCCTTGAAACAAGGGGTTTTAAGTCTCTGCACTGTGAAGCTGTCCACTGCAGCCTGCAGCGCCATTTCCATCCTGCCCAGGGAGTTGACCCACAAGGCTCAGAGAAATCTCTTCTGTCTCACCTGCTGCTCCTGTCAGCAATTTAGTAGATTTGCCTGTTCTGCTCCCCTACTCAGTCTCTCATGAATCCTCTCACCCCACTCCCGCAGCCTACACCCCAGGTCTTGTAGTGTAAATAAATAAAGTAAATCTTTAAAATATATATATATATATATAAAAGTTATATTCATGTAGTCAGCGCTAGGCAAAATACATAATAGTATTTCTTTGCAAACCTAAGAAGCTAGGAAAGAAAAATACCTTCCCTGTAAAAATTGCCATCAAATCAGATGGGTAGAATGTAGAGATTACTACAGTTTAAAAGCTTCTAACTGCAGTAACAGAATTGGTGATTTTCCAGACAACATAAAACTTAACCAAATGTTACCCACAGTTGCAAATAATATTGGTAGGTGTTAAAATGGGTAGGAAGTCTTTTGCTGTGTGCATTTCAGTGTTTTGGCTTTTTTTTTTTTTTTAAGATTTATTTATTTATGCTTACAGAACTAGGGTACAGGCCAGAGGTGTGGTGGGTGAGAAGATTCACCAGAGACAGAGTGGGGAGCAGAACAGGTAGATCTGAAATACACTGCTGAGGGGAGCAGCAGAAGGGTCAGGAGGGTCTGCCATGCCATGTGGGTCAGCTCCCTGGCCAGAGATTGAACTGATGCTGCTGTGGCTTCTCAGAGCTTCTTAGTCTGATGCTTTAACCCACTGTGCCACCAGGGAGAGCCCCAATATTTGACTTTTAATTTAACCTACCAGATGAGATGATGCCTAGTCAGGGGAAATTGTAAAAACCCACATGGACTGAGATCACCATTTCACTAGCTGAGGTTAGCTCCCATCTGCTTTGCCAGCTAAAAGGTCAGCTCATGGATGTGACACATTGACTCGGATCTGTAACTGTGTTTATCCTCTTAGGTAGCCATAGCCACTTAATGGCTATGAGCACTTGAAATATGGCTAGTCTTCACTGAAATGCACTGACATGTAAAATACACACCAGATTTCAAAGATTTAGTGCAGAAGAAATATGAAATATTTCCCTAATTTTATGCATCAGTTACCTGTTGAAATGACCCCTTAGCTATATTGAGTTAAATATAGATATTGAAAATTAGTATCACTGGTTTTTATTTTTTTCACTTTTTGTAATATGGCTACCAGGCTCAAATAAATGACTTACAGATTTGACTCATATTTTTGTTTCAAGTTATTGCTTTTCACTGGGGCACACCTGCTTTAGACTACATACTATACATACATTATCTCATTGAATCCTCTTTATACCCCTGTGAGGTATGTTTTTACTGCTCCCCACCCCACACATTTTTTTTTTTACAAGACTGAGAAGCTATATTATAAGTCCAAGACCTCACATAACTAGTCAGTGGCTAACTGAGATGTTAGATGTTCTGACTGAAAGGCCACAGGTGGAAAGGAAGAATATCCTAGTCTCAAGAGCTAGGGGATCCTTAAACTCTTACACTACTAAGGAAAGTCCCCTTAACTTAGGTTTTCGTATTGTTTTTGAAAAACTCAGAGAGAGAACAATTTCATAGAGATCTGGAAAAAAGTTGTTATTTAATCTGAATTTCTCCCTAGACTTCTAAATACACTGTAAGTCTACAATAAGGTAACCACAGATATGGATAAGATTAAGTTTAAAAGCTATAATATTGATTCGTGTATTCCTTTAATTGGGTATAATCTTACACTAAATTAATTAAGGAAAAGAACTAAAAAAAAAAATTTATGCGTATTTTTCTGTAATCTTTCCTTCAGCCTCTTTTAGCGAGACACAAACTCTATTGCCCTGCATTATAGAGACATTCTTATCTTGCCCAAGAGAATTTATAATCAGTTTGTGAAAAGACAAAGGAAGAAAGAAACAAAGGAATGCACCATCAGAAAAATAAAACCCAATCACTTAGCGTGGTGTAAGGAATAAAGTAAAATGTTAATGAAAAACAGTAGACTAGATTGTAATGGCATGTAGCTTTTAAACTTTGTTATTTGTTGAGGCTAAGCCAAAGAGCAGGAATTGCCTGATTGTGACATGTTAATCTCTATTCTTCTGAACAAATAGCAATTCATTACACCCTCAACTGAAAAGTTCATATGGAATCATTTGTAGGAACCCATTTCACTCAATTGCCCAGTTCCAGTTGTATTCAAAGAGTTTAACTTGGGTTTCAGTTCACCTGTAATGTGCACCAAGTTAAAAAACTAATGTCCAAATTCGAGTAACGTATCAGAGTTAGGGTTTTTATTTGTAAGACGTTTAGTAATAGATGAGACAGATGGTGATAAGTCAGCCTTAAGAGAACTGAGAACAAACAGGCAATTATATATATATATATATATTTTTTTTTTAAAGATTTATTTATTTATGCATGCCGAACTGGGGTACAGGCCAGAGATGTGGAGGGTGCACCAAGTTAAAAAACTAATGTCCAAATTCGAGTAACGTATCAGAGTTAGGGTTTTTATTTGTAAGACGTTTAGTAATAGATGAGACAGATG